ATAGGTACCGCACTCGAGACTTGCCAATGAAATTAGCCCACTCGACTCGATACCTCCTCTCGGAGCTCGCTCGCGAGCAGACGCACTAATAATATACAATTTATACATCGCAAGACTCGACGTATTATCGTGGCCTTTTTTTTTACTACTTCTTTTTGGTACACATCCATATATCGTGCACGACCCATAGAGGGAAGAGGGAAAAGAGCACGTCGACGCCGGAGGCACGGCTAATTACCGGGCGCGGGAGCTCTGCACCCGCATATATACATATATAGTAAGACCAATCGAGGCACTCTTCTATACATGTATAACGTATAGCATACATACATGTATGCGCGCGAAGCGATGAAAAGCCACCCGCGCTGCACGAGTCTAAACACCTGCAGCGGCGCAGCCCTTTGCAGTCACTAGGCTGATGCTCTTCTCTTTCGTCGTCGTCGTCTTTCGACTTTGCAACACTTTCACGCGCGCACTACCGCGCGACCTTAATTCGCGGTCCCGCACCGTACCTACACCGAACGTGACGCGAGCTCCGAAAGCCTACGTATCTACGTGTGTATGTGTTCCGTATCATATATATATAGATGCTGCACTTAAAAGTATAACGTATATAGTACGAGATATGTATGCATTGCCGAGCGCGAGTCGTGTGCCGTTCGTTTGGATGATTCGAGTGTGCGCGTCTCTTTGACGAGAACATTACTATCGATCTAACCAATTTGTGAAAACGACGACGCGAATTCTCATGCGTTCGAAATTATACGAAACGTTACGTATACGTTGTAAACGCGACCGATATATATACGTACGCGAACCGCACGAGATATTTTTCAAATAAATGGGATTGCAAGAATCAAAGTTCTATTGTATATACGTTACAAATTAGGTTATTCTCTTTGGTCAACGTACCGTTCGTCGAAGCTCCTCAAGATAACCACACCGCCATTGTTTCGATGCTCCTTCCGCACGTTAGGGCATCGACGCTGATTCTAATTCCGAACTCGAGCTTACTTGTATACACTATAAATCCTCGACTCCGTATATTTTCGAAGCAATCACCGCACTATTTTGCTCTTCATCATAACGGACGTATCGATGCTTAATATTCATACGCGAGAGTGCGAACTGTTATAGATAAAACGAACACGAACTGATGACTGCGATTCGAGCGCATTCGGAGCAGAGAGACGCTCGTTCGCGTTCGAACGAAGAGCCAACGGTCAACGTCCGGCCGCGCACGCGGGCAACGGCAGGCACAGAGAGCGAGAGCGTACAGGGGCGGAGAGAGGGGGTGAAGGAGAGACGAAGACGAAGCAGCAGCGAGTCGCGTCGTTCGAACTGCAACTGCCGTGCGGCCGAACGAAAATTGGCGCGCGCGAACTCGTCCAACGTCCGCTTCACCCCCCAACGGATAACGTCGAAGGAAGAGAATTCTGTATTAAATATATCACGAAGTACGACGCAGCTTCGGTACAAAGATTTAGCGATAATAATCGAGCGACATTCTATTTTACACCGGTATAAAGTTCGATACTTGGCGCACGCAATTCCTCGATAATTGAAAGTCATTCGGAGTGAAATTTTACAAGTTTTCAAGTGTGTATTGTGTGTGTGTGTGTACGTACGTAACTCGTTGCGTCGAACTCGGAGCTCCTCGAGGAGGTTATATTGCTTGCGCGGTGTTGTACAACTGCATCGCGAGGCAAGGCTCCCTCGAGTATACGTTCAGTTCGGACTTTATGTAAGCTGCACGCGGCGCGAAAGCGTATATATATATATACAGAACACAAAAGCATTCTATGTACCTGTATCTGTATGTATATTGCATCCAGTGAGAGACGTGTCCAACGGTTTATATTTAGTGCAGCTCGTAAACTACTAAATCACAATGCCCAATAAGACTTGATGTATTGTAATTACTTTTGCGCCGGATTCTTTTCGATGATTTTTGAAAAATAAAATTTCGAACGAGGTATCGTTATTGTAATAACGACGAGATGAGAATCTTTTCGCCAACGTTCAAACTCCGACTGTCGACGCTGGGTGTTTGTCATACGATGTCCCAGATATCTCGTGTATGTGTGTGTGATATGCATCAATGTATTATGTCTTTCTGTGTTTTTGTTATTGTTTTGGTTTCTTTCTCTCTTTCTTTGGAAGAGAATTGTGTTGTGTTTCCGTGCGGTGCTTGTATTTGAAGTGTGTAAAGGAAGAACGAATCAATCCTAATGCTGCTGCTGCTTCTTGCACGAGTAAGTTAACGACATTTTTAAAATTAACACGCATTTGTAATTTTTCTACTTTACTGCGCCGTTATTAATACTATAATTCTCGTGAATCTCGAGGCTTCTTTTATGAAAAAAAAAAGAACATTACTCGATTCAAATTTCTCGCTCGCAACGAATCCCTCCGTTTTCACGTTCATACATGCGAATTCGAGGGAGAAAAATGCGGACATTTCTCAAAAGCAGAGTCGAGCCGCGTCGTTCATCAGTTCTCGCACACGGGGTGTGTGTGTGCGAGCACGTAACTCGTATCCGTATGCGTCGAGTCCGGCTTTACCATTACCATTATAACGCGGGAGGAAAAATCTCTCAAAACAACGTCCAACCCTATACACGCATGTACAGTAGCTCACGCATACATCTCAAAACTAAATTCGCTCGCGTTGCTGCTGCTGCTGGGGCGATCGGCTCCCGATGCCATAGCATCGAGTTTTCCTCTATATATCCCCGCGAGTGCGCGCGTCTGGCTATACGCAGCCGTTCAGGTAGTATTTTAGATGGCAAGGCAGCGATATACGCGTGTACGCGCACCCGGGCAGTTATATTTTGGCGGGAGCGGGCGCGGGAGGGATTTACGGGTCTAGTCGGAGCGAGACAAAAGTGCGCTGTACCTATATGTAGGTATATAGGCGCTGCACACCTATATGTATATATGTCGGAGCCGGCGATCGTGAATCAATTATAAGCGTGAGGTTGCGCGCGGAACTTCCGTAGCCGCCGCTGGCCGGGGTAGTAGAGGGTCCGTATCAGCGACATGACGAATGCTTTATCCAAAATCGAATTTTCCTTTTCTCTCGCTCGTACTGCTACTACTCTCTGTCTATGCGGCTGCATCCTCCATCCCTCGCGCAATAGCAGCGATACTCTCCCACAAAATTTTCGCGTAAAATATCGTCTAGCGCGCAGCGGGAGGTTCTATATATATGACCTATACACAGCAGCAGCACTTTCAGATCCTGCCGCCCGTTATGCGTGTATAAGCGATATACTCGTGCATAGAGAAGCCCGTGCGCCGCTAATTGGCAGCTCATCCGGCAGATATCGCCGAGCTAAAGCTGTCGGAGCTGCATTCTCCATACACAGATAGTATATAAGTTTAGGGGAGCGCAAAGAAAGAAAATCGAGTCGACCACCCGCGCTGCGTAAAAAAGGACCGAAATGAAGCCGTCGCTCTTCGTCACATATTTCTTCCTCATTCTCTCTCTAGCTCTTGAGCTTTCTAACGAATTGAACTCGTTCGCGGTGCTATTTCACCGACTCGAACTAATTCCGATTAAAAATCGAGGAAATCTAGTTTTTTCGTTGAAAACTTGCGTTTCATTAAGGAAAAAAAAGAAAAAAGTGGTTTTAACTCACCTGCGAGAAGGAGTCATCGGGATAGGGCGTGCCCCGGTGGCAGTCGTCGTAGCACCTGGTGTCGTAGCCGCTGGGCGGCCTCGGGAAGGCCTCCTGGCCCGCCACCGCAGCCGCGGCCGCTGCCGCGCAACAGTCCGGTATCTGGGACGCGTAAGCCTCGTACGGGCATTTCTCGATGATGGGCAGCTGCTGCTGCGACTGCTGCAGCTGAGATTGCTCCCGCTGTTGCTGCTGCTGCTGCTGATGCTGACGCTGCAGGGTGGACTGTTGCGACGACGGCAGGCCTACCACCGAGCCGTAGCCAACTCCCTGATGATGCATCATCCTTTCCGATCCTTCGTTACTACTGCTACTTTCCTTGCGCAACTACTACTGACACTGATGTTGATGTTGCTGCTGCCGCTGCTGCTCGTCATCGTCATTTTCTCATTTCGCCGGTTGGTTTTTGTGTTGTGTTTTTTTCTCGTGCTCACTGCCGCAGCTGCGACACTTCGGTCATGCTGCACCAACCACCACTAACACGGTCATGGCCCCTTCGATTCGACGACACACTTATAGACTCGAGTTGTAGTCGTCGTCGTCGTCGTTGAAGGCAGCAAAGTCCCCGATCGGCGCCCGATAAGCTGGCCGCATGTGTGTTGTACCAACGGAGACGCTCTTATCGACGTCCTCGTCGACCGTATGACCTGCAATGCAAATTCATTCGCAACGCATTAGTTATTGCTCGCTGTCTATACATAAGTACGCGTGTTAACGTGTGCAAGTGTGTACGTCTTTATCAATGTGTATGTAGGTATATGAGGGTCGAAGCTTGTACTTGGTTGATTGCTTTGCCCATCCTCTCTCTTTCTCTCTCACTCACGCGCGCGCGCACACGATGCACATTTCGGAGAAGACATTGATTGCTTTCCTGCGAGCGTGGGGATGCGCATAACATAAACTTTTGATTTTGAGTTTTAGTATTTTTCTATTGATTCAATTATATAATTCTATTGCTTGACAGGTCTTTAAAAGTAGCCGAGACCTGTGAAAATAAGGAAAATAAAACTGAAGTGAAAACGAGAAAAGGAATTTTTTTAAGATTCTCGAATCGTTAAGATGATAATGAGAGACAAAGGCAAGCGATTACAGAATTACTAAGATCCAAAGCAATAATTTTAAAAATAATAGCTACTTCATTTATGATTTTTAGAGACTGTGGTTGCATTTCATAATAGAGAGAAAAAATTTGATTGAAGTCATTATTGGTTTTTATTTAAAAAATTTTTTCATTGTACTTATATCAGCACAAATTTAATAATTATACAAATCCGTATAACTACGGAACAACGCGAACGCGTCGACGCACATTATGATTTATAAAAAACCCCAACGACTGTGAAGAGATAATCTTAAGGGCAGCGGGCGCTCGCAGCCCGTAGCCGCCAAGCAAACGTGATAAAGATCGTGGTTTTTTAATTTTTTCATGATTGCTTCACAGCAGAGAATCGGCAGCCGATATTGCGTCAGCTCCATGAAGGGATCGAGTGTCCAGAGCCGAAAGAATCGCCTCGTCATTATCTCACAGACATGCAGGAGGCAGGCCTCCGTGTACCTCGGGCCGATCGTCGGGTCGCGCTTGCAGGAGCGCACGAAACCGAAGTAGTTCCGGGGCTCGAGTCGTAGCCTCGCCGCTTCGTCGACGGGCAATTTGACAAGGTCGTAGAGCGACAGTTCTATCTCTGTTGTAAATAATTCGGATTCCTTGTCGTAGCGATCGATCGCTTCACTATAACCTAAAATTATAATTTTTCGCACAATTTGTTGTGCTCTTGACGCGAACTCCTCGTCGTCCCACCATGGATCGTCGTCGTCGCGTCCCGACACTGTTTTTTTGAGCAGTCCCTGCTCGGCAAAAAGTCTCATGAGCATAATGGCATTGTTGCGATCCAGCTCGTATCCGTGCTGGCTGCGCAGATGTTCGATGAACGTCAGTGCGCCCTTGGCCAGCCTTAGCTCGAAGTCCCAGCAGGACTTGCTGTACATCGACTCGTACACCATGCCGAGATAGCACGAGTCGGAAAACATTAATTTTACGCTCGGTCGGATAAGGTCGAATAAATCCGTGGCCACGGATCTTGTATCCATCTGTTCGTCGACGATCTTAAAGAAAATCATCTTCACGTCGTCCCCCGCGCTCGCAACATCTTTTCTGAGAAAAATCTGCAGAGTCGCGGCGACGTGATCGTCCGGCTTGGAAGGGTTCGCGTCGCTTCTGGACAGCAGCTCAGCTGTTTCCTCGCTGCTTAGGCGCAGCTGGAAGCTCCACTGGGGATGGCGTCGGATCGTCACGCACTCTTCGTACAGCATCTTTGCCAGGTCGTGTGAGTTGTTTTTTCGCTCGAAGATGAGGCGCAGAGGCGTCGCGCCACGGGCGTTGACCGTGTGCGGATCGGCGCCGTGTCTTAGCAGCACGAGGGCAACTGCGTGATGGCCTTGCTCGAGAGCTAGATGCAGTGGTGTGTTGCCGGTGTTGTCACGCACATTAATCCTCCACGTTTCCTCGTCATCGTTTTCCATACTCAAGTACAGCTGTAGCAGATTGTAGTGACCGTCGCGGCAAATGATGTGTAAAGGAGTAACAGACTTTATATCGGCCACGTTCGTATCGGCGCCTCGCCTAATAAGTAACTCTGCAGTTGTCGTGAATCCTCGCTTCAACAGCCAGTGAAGCGGCGTCCGACCATACTCCTTGTCTTGGGCGTCGAGTTGCACACGTCCTCGCGCGGATCTCAGCAATATTTTTGTCAATTTTAGAACTCCACGATTTTTATTGGCTATAAGGTGCAGCGGTGTCGCGCCACGGGCGTTGCCGGGGTGCGGATCAGCGCCATGTCGTAGTAGCGACTGGGCCACTGCGCGGTGACCACGTTCGAGAGCCAAATGCAGCGGTGTGTTGCCGCTTTCGTCACGCACATTAATCCTCCACATTTCCTCGTCGTCGTTTTTCATACTAAAGTACAGCTGTAGCAGATTGTAGTGACCGTCGCGGCAAATGATGTGTAAAGGAGTAACAGACTTTATATCGGCCACGTTCGTATCGGCGCCTCGCCTAAGAAGTAACTCTGCAGTTGTCGTGAATCCCCGCTTCAACAGCCAGTGAAGCGGCGTCCGACCATACTCCTTGTCTTGAGCGTCGAGTTGCACACGCTCTCGCGCGTATCCCAGCAGTATATTAACCAATCTGTTGCCGCCACGGCGTCTTTTCGCGATTAGATGCAGAGGCATCTCTCCTCGGCGGTTGGCCGTATTCGGACAAGCGCCGCGTTTCAGCACTTCCTTGAGCATTACTTCACAATTGGTTTGCGCCAGTGCCAAGTGTAGAGCGGAATCACCGGTCGCGCGCACGAGATAGTTTGGATCGACCTGTCCCAGCTCGAGGAACCGAACGACGAGGTCTGTGTGGCCGGCTTGGCAGGCCGCATGAAAATGCGTGAATCCCGCCTCGTCGACGTAGTTCGCGTCGAACCGATTGTAAATGATGAAAAGTTCTCTGATTAGGTACCTCCATCGATGAATTTTTTGGCGGGCTACTAGATGTATAATTGTGGTACGGCACAGCAACGGCTGCTTGGTCTCAACGTCGTGCTCGGGTTCGTTCCTGTAGCCGCTACGAGCCACGAACTCGATGAATTGATGACCTCGATCTTCGTTTTCCTTTTTACAAATATTTATAGAATCCAAGAGGAGAAGCTCTACTTCTCCTCCCTGAAATATTTGCAGGAGGTCGGGATATCGACCGCTCGATTGGTCGATTCGATGGCAGATTGTTTTGAGGAGAAATAGTCTCTGTGCCTCGAGTTTCCAGTTGATATCCGAACGAATCTTTTTCCATTGTTCGGCTGTTTGCTGGGGTTCGAATTGGTCACTTTTCCCTCTGCAATTCGAGGACATTTTCAAAGGCCCTTTTCACTATATAAGATGACTATATAAACTCATATACTCACTGTGATCGACGACTCATATTTTATATTTATAAATCTATTGTATAAATTACAATAATTACAATAAAACTAGTATTTCACGTAGAATAGATCAATTTGGACTATTTGATCTGTACCACATCCGAGAATAATGACGATTCTATCAATACTAACGGTTACAGAAATGTATAATAGACCTCATGTCAACATTGTATTCTCGCGCTCATACACGTACGAATGTCGAATACTATAAACACAACAATTGATACACACACGAGATCATATTTTCAACGTTTCCTACTCGGAGTATTTTACATTATGCTTCGATGAAAATGTTCCATTTAGAGAGTTGAGCTGCCTGTGGTCCTTAAGAAAAATCATCCACGTGCCGATCACTAGTGGGTAAATCTTACTACGCGGGCGACCGTAGCTTCGAATACGACTAAAGTCGAATGGGTTTATAATTTTTTCCGAGCCACAATCCACTCATATTGATACCATTTTAATTTCAATCTTACTAAACCTGGTTTTGTTTTACATTAGCTATACGATGCCTCAAAACCAAAAGGAGAGTCAGAGAAAAGTTTTTTTTTTCAAAATTGCTGGCATCATGCGACGCTCTACATATTATGTAGTACATAAAGAGTCAAGCGAGGAAAAGTCATTTTCGGCAATGACTTTTTTTTCTCTTTCGGTCTCTCGAATTCTGAAGATTTTTACGATGCCTCGCACGACTGTCTACGAGTGTCCAGGGCTATAAAATTAAAAAATATAGAGGTATTCGTACGAGACGAGCTGTTGAGTCGCGGGACGATTATTCTTCGTCTGTATCGTAACACGCGCGCATCTATCCCAATTGTTGTCGCTGATACGCACCAATCCTCTACCCCGATTTTCATACATAATAGAGATAAAAATACAAAGAAGCATCACTGAAACTCGTCAAGTTTGAGACGCGATCACTCCAACAATATGTTGTATTACATTTACTCTTCATTAGTCTTTCGAGACTCGAGAGTAATGCTTTGATCTCTCACGACAATTTTAGAGATTACAAGAAGAAAAGGAAGACGCCCCGCTGTGAGATTTTCAATGAAAAAATCACAAATAAACCAAAAAGTTCACTTTCTCCGCACCGAGTTTTTCGAGATATTTGGTCTTCAATGTTTGATGGCGATTTTCGCGGTGAAAATTAGATATTTCGGAAAGTCTGATTCTACCAGTTACGTCTTAACTGTCGTAATTCTTAACAATTCTTTGTTTTGATCATTTTTAAATCTGGTAATTTCAAAATGTCAATTATCAGTTACTTAGCTATGATGATAATGAAATTAAATAAATTTCTTCGAGTATTCATACAATCTTAAAATTTTATATTTCAAACTGCTAGATTACCAAAATATTGACGATAAAATAATTCTGGACTGTATGTGTATGTAACGAGCAGGCTACACGGGTGAATTTCCGTGCGAGAACATCGCCACTTACCGAAGTAAGTCATCGTCGAGCCTAGATTTCGACCTAGTTGGACAAGCAGGTCTTCAGGACTCAACTCGTTCAATTCGATACATGTACAGCGTGTAGCGTTTACGTATACACAAACTATATAAGGTTGCGTGAGAACACTTTTTATGCGACTCATATGGTCAAATCTCAAAATAAAATTCCGTTTCGTTAACAAAAAAAGGTGAAAATTTTTTTTTGCGTGCCTAGCGGCCCTGAACCCCCGCAAATTGTTTATAGGACCTCCAGAAGTGAAAGAAAACGCGTGAACATGAAATTTGAAAATAGTTAACTTTTTTTGGGGCACTTTTGTGTTTTAGACGCCGAAAACTCATCTTTTCACGCAAATACGACTTATTACTCGATTTCCAAGTCGTTGTAAAAGTATCAAAACTCATCTGAAAAATTTAACTGACTACTGTATTCGATAAGAAATTTCCTCAGCTTTCCGATGGTACTATTCGATTTTCCGAAATATCCATTTTTCACCGCGAAAATCGCCATCAAACTTAGAGGGCTAAATATGTCGAAAAATTCAGTACGGAAAAAGTGAAATTTTTGGATAATTGTTGATTTTTCCTTGTGAAGATGATTTTTTTCGGAAAATCTAACTGTGCCATGAGAAAGCTGAGGAAATTTTCTATCGAAAGCATATCTTCATTTATTTTGTAAGCTGAATTAAAATCCTATACAAACGTATTTTGACTCCCCTGTTCTCCGTTTTCAGTTTTCAGAGCGGTCTTGAAGTTTTTAGCGTTGCACGGCTCACTACAATCGAAATTCGCTCGTAATTAGACTCAAAAAATGAATGAAGATATGCTTTCGATAGGAAATTTTCTCAGCTTTCTCATGGCGCAGTTAGATTTTCCGAAAAAAATCATCTTCACAAGGAAAAATCAACAATTATCCAAAAATTTCACTTTTTCCGCACTGAATTTTTCGACATATTTAGCCCTCAATGTTTGATGGCGATTTTCACGGTGAAAATTTGATATTTCGGAAAATCCAACTGCACCATCGGAAAGCTGAGAAAATTTCCTATCGAATACAGTAGTCAGTTAAATTTTTCAGATGAGTTTTGATACTTTTACAACGACTTGGAAATCGAGTAATAAGTCGTATTTGCGTGAAAAGATGACTTTTCGGCGTCTAAAACACGAAAGTGCCCCCAAAAAAATTAACTATTTTCAAATTTCATGTTCACGCGTTTTTTTTTCACTTCTGGAGGTCCTATGAACAATTTACGGGGGTCAGGGCCGCTGGGCACGCAAAAAAAAATTTCACCTTTTTTTGTTAACGAAACGGAATTTTATTTTGAGATTTGACCATATATTCATTCCCGTTCCTTCAGGAAATAGTGGACCATTGGAAAATCTAAATAGCTCATATTGATAGGATTTTTTTCAAGAAATCTGATGGACTTATCAGATTTTCGATATATCTTATCAAATTGAAATGAAAGCTAAAAGAAAGTTGGCGGGAATTTATGCGCTGTATATGAGTATATAATAATAATAATAATAATAATAATAATAATAATAATAATAATAATAATAATAATAATAATATATAGCGGTGTGTCGTCTTTTAGTTCCTGTCATTACTTGCCAGGTGGAGTGCGACACGTATAACATATGATACACATATGATAGATTATTTTAAATTTCATTCACGAAAATCACTCGTGGCAATCTATCCGATTTTCTTAGTTTTGGTCGACAAGCTATTAAAGATGAAAGAAGCGCTAGCTTTGTGCAGCGATGAGTGTAAATCGAATTACCGTATGTCACATATTCCTTTTAAGTAGGTTTAGGAGATTTTCCAGCGAGTAAGAAAATAAGTAATTTCGACAATAAGTGCCGTGCGACCGCCGCGTTGGGACGCTGCTGCTCATGCACGGCTTTCTCTTATGCATGAACCTAAAAATCATGCTCTCAGCGAGCAGTCGCCAGTTTTTCCGTGTAGACACATGCCCGAATTTGTATAGGTTCGTGTCATACGAGTCATGCCGCTGCTTCGTTGAGCGCTTTCTAATCGTTATACCGAGTCAAGTATCTCTGCATCACTCACACTTTTTCTATACTTTCTCTTTCTTTCTCTCTGCGCGTAGATCGTGTAATGCACGTATACAGTCAGTACACTTTAAGCAGTCGTAGCGTGAACAGCAGTGAGTGAGTTTAATTTTTTTTTTTTTCATCAAGTTCTAAGTGCACTAAACCATGGCCCAGAACGATCGACATAGTCTTACATTATTGAAAACTTTGAAAGCCAAGGTAAATTTTGAGGTCACTAAGCAGCGACGCAAATTTCTGCCCAAACTATATCGCTTGATCAAGAAATGGCGAGGCCAACTTCCGAATCTCCTGGAAATCTTTCGAGAGGAAGAGATCAAGTGGCTTCTCGCGGAGGCCGTTAAAAATAGTGACGAGTGGGATCCGCTACTGCTCGCGAATTTTGCGATCGACTCCGGCTACAGGGACGAGCCCGACCTCGACGAAGACGGCAAGCCAATTTTGCGTCGCACCACACTGATACATCACGCGGCTGAGGAGGCTCGCGGTAAATCCGCGATCTTGAATCTTTTTACATTGTACAACAGATTTGATGTGAATTACATCGACGACGATGGGTACACACATTTCCATGTGGCCTGCATATACGGCTTGGACGACGTCGTCGCGAGATTTCTCCAGCTCGGGCAGGATCCCAACTGCGTCTGCCCAGTAACAGGCAGCTCGCCGCTTCATTTGGCTCAGAATAACAATAAGAAGGAGGTGGTAAAATTGCTGTTGAAAAATGGCGCCAATCTGATTTTGGCCGATAAGGATGGAACGACACCTCTGCACTTGATTTGCGATAGATTCATCGATGAGGATTGGACGGAGGAGTTCTTTGAGATATGCAGTGACAGACTGCAAACGGTAGAGATCGACGTCCGGAACAAGGAAGGTCATACACCGTTAAGCCTGGCTCTGATGAGCAACAGCAACAAGGCGGTAGAAACACTGCTGAGAAATGGCGCCGACCCGAACTTGACCAACGAAGAGGGACAGACGCCTCTGCATATGATCGGCGGATGGACCAGAGAAGTTGCGGTGAAGACGTTTCTGGATATCAGTGACGCAGTGAATCGTCCGGTGCAGGTCGATGCACGCGACAACGAGGGTAACAGACCACTGCACGTGGCCGCGAAGCGCGGCAGCGACGATGCGATCGAGCTGCTGCTGAGACGAGGCGCCGATCCTAACTTGGCCAACGAGGAGGGACAGACGCCTCTGCACCTCATTTGCAAGAGAATCAGCTGGGTTAACGCCTGCAACGACTTGACGAAGCTATTCTTCGACGTCTGCGACGAATTGAATCAAACGGTGCAGATCGATGGGCGAGACAAGTTCGGCCTGACGCCGCTGCGATGGGCGGTGGCGAGCGTCAAGCCGGCCGCGGTCGATTCGCTGCTGGATCGTGGCGCCGATCTGTCCGGCTTCGTTTTCCCCGCGGTGAGTCACCTCGCCGAGGCGTGCAGCGACATGCGGCCCGACAGTAACCAGCTCAATTTCAAATTGAAACTGGCCTCCGGCCTGCTGGACTGCGTCGAGCGTCTGCAAGAAAGAGGATACGAGCTCGACCGCAGCGACGCCCGGACGATCATGGAATTTTTCGCCGAGCGCGAATTGTTCCAGAAGCCAGGCAGCACGCGTTGGTACTGCGATCCGAAGTGCGTGGGAGAGGCACTGACGAAGACCATGGTGAAAGAGGGTCTGTCGCTCCAGGACCTGATCGAGGCGCGACCCCGAGAGGCGAAGAAACTGATGACGTGCCGGGACTACTACAACTTCGCGTGCTCGCCGATCGATTGGCGGCTGTACCCTTGCAGCAGCACTCAAAAGGCTTGCGAAGTGGAACTGTACGAGAGAGCGTCGAGAGGATTTTTCAAGTCGTGGGCGCTACAACCCTTCCTGGAGCTGATGCATTATCGGCTGCCGATTGAGATGTGTGAAATTATAATAGACCAGTTGAGTAACCAAGATTTGTACAATGTTTGCTTGGCGGTTACGCCGGGGTCAAATTGACCGATTAATCCAATAAATAAATTATAAAAATGAAAGTCTGAAGTTGTATGTTTCAAATTGTTTATTCATTACCTCATCGCATTATCGAGACAAAATTGATCTTGGCACAGATCAAAAATATAAATATGATTTCTTCAAAAAAGCATGTGAAATCGTTGTAATAGTCTTGCCTTACAACGAGGAATTGCCAAGCTCGAAGCAGCAGGTGAACGGCGGCGCCTCTTTATTGCCATAGATAAGGTTTCAATTAATTTCTTCCTCTCCCGCAAACAAATTCTCGAACTAGAAATAATTCCTTGTTCAGCTGCTAGGCTACTGCTACGACGTCGACTACGACGCGCATCAGGCAAAAGCTTCTCGAGTGTATGTGCTGTATATATCGTGCACAAACAAGCCGATATAGTCGAACTACGAGAGAGAGAAACGATCGATGTTCCGAACGAATCGACTAATACAGAGGCGAGAGAGAGAGAGAAGACGTGGCCAGCAATGCTCGATAAACAGATTTCAATGGAAGTCTCATCGGTTATTCTAAGCACTGCCTATCCTTCTGCTGCACCAAAGCAGCGACGAACGCGCACTTCGAGACTTCTGCAGCACTGTGTATATATAGCAGTTTCAACGATCTGCTGTAATGGAATATATACAGAGAGAGAGAACTTCGATGCAGTCGATCGCGCAGACTGCAGGCAATATTTGCGAACGACGACGGCGGCGGCACATAGCCAGACTACATGAAGGGCATTGTGGCACGCGCGTCGCATTGCATTTAATTGATATCGAGTCGATCGTGTTCGCGCACGGGGATGGTCCGGTTTAGTCGAGGTGGCGACGATCTTCGAGATGTTTGTTTAATTATTCGTTCGTTATTGTATACGTATGCGATACCGCGCTAGAAGGGGCAGCATATAGGCTGCAGTCAAAAAGTCGTATAATCACGTGCGGCACCGAGAGAAAGAGAGATCGAATACGACGTCGTATTATATACGCGTTCGAGCTCTGACTCCCACGCGCGCCACTTTATTACCGAATAATTTATGTTCGAACATTTTATGCGCCCATATATACATATACGGTATGTATGCCTGCTTAATATAGAGTCGTTTGTATGCGCGATGCGCTGCTCGGGCCGCGCTTTGCTTATGACGCGGGCCGAGTGCTTTAATAAAGTATGCATGCATGTATGTCGGTGTGTGTGCGAACGTACGTTTGCCATTTGGATATACGTATTATATACAGTAAATATATCCACCTATATATTTAACGTTCTCGCACGATCGCGCCAAACGTTGCGATCCGCGCACGCCGCCGCCGCCGCAGCGGACCAAGTTTAATTCTCCTCGCGCGCTCGCGTATATAAATATAAACATAGATATATAATATATACATGCCCATACGCGAACGACCGATGAAAAGATTTTAACGTCGCGTATAAAGTACATATATATATCGTCGAAATGAACGTTTGGCGCTCGCGAATGCGAGAGATTGTTTATAAGCATTATACATATAATACGGCTTTGCAGGATAGTCATACTTCGATATGTATATTTCATTTTGTTTTATATTTTTTGCGCGGATCGTTTCGGTGACCGTGTGCCGCGTTCACCGCGACGAATTCGCGAACGAAGTTGAACTTTTTATGATTAAAACAAATGTTTGCCGTCTTTTTTTGGGTTATTTTTTTACCAATGTAGGAATTTAAAAAGGACTCGCTCTCAAAGCTCGTAAACATTTTGATATCGCAACGTGTTTGCCGTGGAAAACGCATATCGCTTCGCGAAGTAAAAGAAAATCTGCGTATACAGTAGCACTTGAACGCGTGAGCAGCACAGCCGAGCACGATATATCCTGCACAAAGTTTACTTTTGCTCGGATCCTGCCGTTGCTGCTGCTGCTGCCGTCGTCACTCGAAAATTTTAAATCCACAAAATGAAATATAATAGCGCGGTGTTTGAGCAATCAAATCCTGCTGCATACATACAGAGCAGCAAAGATTAAATAATTCAAGTACGCGTATAAGCGGCTTGCAGCTCGCGACGCGAAACTTTCGGCGAGCTCCGACCGACTTGTATATAGTATTATACAGATTATTCACATCACGAGCGATTATATTTTTCGTGTGTGCTCCTAATATCGTATTGCCGAAAGTCCAATAGCGGCGGTTAACTGCCGCGTTTATTCGTCGAGGCATTATTATATATAAAATGTACCGAAAGGAAGGAAGTGATTCTAGTCTCGAGCTAACAAGCTTCGTGCCCTACTACCGCCAAGAGCGTCTTTAACTTTTTACCCCCTCTTTCTCTCTCTGTCTCTCTACTTTCTCTCGATTCTTTTTTCCTGCTCCTCCTTTTTTTTTTTATTATCACTTATCAAGCTGCAAAGCGCGTTACGTCGTCGTCGTCGTGGCAAGTGGCCTGGCTGCTGCAAGAGAGAGAGGAGCTTCGGTCGTGTGATCGCGCGCACGCGGCAGCCTCGCGGTTTCTCATCCAATTTTCCGTGGTAAACTTTTTCATCCGATGGCTCTTCGCTGCCGCGCAGGAACGCTGCTGCTGCCGCTGCTGTGCTATATATACAGCGCGGCGCGGTTTTGTGCATCGCTAAGTTGGTGCGCGCCTCGCGCTCAAGGGGGTCGCACTGTACTATACATAACTTTTGCTGCCCCCTCTCGCACTCGAAACTCTCTTCGTTTGCTGCTCTCGTAATGTTTTATAGGAAAGCCACTGTATATAGCCGTGGGAGAGTGTGAACTTTTTTTTTAAATTCAAACGTTCTGGCGCGTTGGCTTTTGAGCAGGGCAGCGGTATACTAGCAGCTTGCGGAATTAATTTTCAATGATCATGTTGTGATTGAACTTGAAATTTATATGTTATGACTTTTTGAATTCCTCTTTATTTCTAAATTTTCATTGACTTGTTTTTAGCAATTTTCGTGTTATAATTAGGTTACCCATATTCAGTAGATTGAAATTACCGAAAAAAACAATTTAACTGTTCTGAAATTTAAGACCAATTTTCAATCACCTAAAATATGCTAATACCACTTTTACCGCTAGATGGCGACGTTTTTTATTTGTAAATCTGCAAGTAGCAAAGTCAAAATAATTGTATAAGTTACGTCGCTTTTGTCTAAAAGAAACACCTCGTCCCGTTTGGTACAACTCATTGACGAGTTGAAAAAGTATGGGCACTCTTGCGTTACAAACATATTTTGTACAGTCGAAAATATAGGACTGATTTAACGAGTAGTCGCATATTCTTGGACTGTCGAATACCAATATGAGCGTACTTTTTTGTACATCGTTCGTTAGAAAAAAAAAGAAATGGTTTATTATAACCATTGTATTTTAAACAATGAATTCTTAACTTTTGCTCATCCCTGAAGATGAAAGTTAAAATTTCCAAATTTTGCTTTACTTCCATATCCTTTCACATTTTATTAGAGCGTTTACTCAGTTCATACATCATTTTTGGTCTGTATCACGATATACCGCGATACAGCTCTCGCGTATACACGCCAAAGAAAAGACGGCGGAGTGGTAGAGACTAAGCCAGCAAATGCTATATGTATACGTATACGGAGCACCGCATACACATACGCACATACACGCACACGGTTATACGTATTAAACTCATAACTTGCATTCGTAAAGCAAACATAAAGTTCCGTTCCGCGCAAGGTGGTATAAACCGCGCGGTCTACTACTGGCACGGCCCGAAACACGCGGCTATGTTTTAGATATATACATAAACAAACGCACACGGGAGCCTTAAATAACGCGGCGCGCACGCAAAAGTTTGTTCATCTCGACCCCACCGAAACAACGATAAACACGAATTTTAAGAAATATCATATAACGAAATGGGAAAATAGGCGTTCGTTAACTTTGTAATAACAAGGTGTGAATATTTTATATATCGTCGGTGTTGATGAGAAAAGAAAGATTCATCGTGAATCGCGAAATTACACTCGCGGCGATATAAACTAAATTCGGATCAGCATGCTGATACGTGCCCTACCGATCCTATCCGTGCTTACAACCCTTCTCTTCGCGCGCGCGCGCTTACATAAAAAATGCGCAAGGAGCTAGGAGCTGGAGAAACGAAGAGAGCGAGTTTCGATCGTTAAGCGCGCACGTCGAGCGAGAGAGAGAGAAAAAGAGCGAGAGAAAGAGACAGACGAGCTTACATATATATAGCGCTAAGGGTGTGCGCGACCGACTGCCCTATACACGTATAGTGATGTAAAGGGGGGGATTTACGCGCAGCGCTCGATTTCGAATTCACGAGAGAGCGTCACGACTTACAGCAGCCGCGTATACCTGCAGCAGCACCAACTCGTCTCAGCTCCTACTGCTACTCGCCTCTCCCTGTCTCTCTCTCTAGAGGGGCATATAATATATAAGAGCCCACTTCGATCCTGAGAAATAGCAGCAGCAGTAGCGACGGCCTTTACAACCTGCGCGCGTGTAAGCTCGATGTATTTCCATGTATTTATACATGTACCGTTGCGGTATATTCTTAGTTTTCTCGCCTCATAGGGCACATATATAGCGATATATAGATCCTGCGCGTATCATTATCACATTGTAATTCCTCGTCGTGTTTCCTCTTACAATATCTCCCGTCGCGTAGTACTATTGCTCTCTCGGCATTCCTTTTTTTTTGCTCCCTCATCTCTTACTCTTTCTCTCTCTCTCGCGCGCGCGATCGTATCGTGTAATAATCGAACACGCTTCTGGTTTTGTATATATTGGACTTTCAGCGCGCGCGAGATTTATTCGAATTCGATACACGTGTAGCAATAAATCTCTCGCGCGGCAGCAGCAACGGCGGCGCGGCGCGTCATATTTTCTTGCGCATTATTTTCATTGCTGATTGTGCGCGAATATAATCCGGTAGCATATATACGACTACGAAGAGGATGACGACAACGTCTATCGATTTAATTCCTCTTCGTATAAATACAAGCCGATAAGTGCCGTGCAGGTGTAGACCAAA